GTGACCTTGTTCTCCGTAGTCCATGCCTGTAGCCTGTCCAGGGTGCCTTGTAGCGGTGAGTAGTCTGGTGCGGTGTTGTCCACTGTAACCCCTACAGTGCAGTCATCCACGTACTTCCACCTGTGAGGAGTGTCCGATAGAGCGTCGTTGATCAGGATGAGGAAGCACAGTGGTCCCATCTTGATCCCCTGGGGAACACCACAGGTGAGGTGTTGGAATGTAGAGACCGAGCCCTGATACCTCACTGCCTGGCTACGTCCACTCAAGAAATCAGTGAGCCATGAGACCAGGTTGGTGGGCAGCCCTAGTGCAATGGCCTTGTTGATAACAGTGCAGTGATCAACAAAGTCAAAAGCCTTCCTGGAGTCAACAAGGGCAACGGCCAGTGATGTCTTAATTTCTGCAGGTTTTTGTGCAGGAAATCCAGAAAACTAACTAAGTTGTGTGATGTAGAGGAGGTCCTCATATTGCCAAATTGCTGTGGATCAATTGACTGTGTGTGTGTGTGTGTGTGTGTGTGTGTGTGTGTGTGTGTGTGTGTGTGTGTGTGTGTGTGTGTGTGTGTGTGTGTGTGTGTGTGTGTGTGTGTGTGAAGACGCCTTACGTACACTCATACTCACACGGTATTAAAAACTTGTTCACCTTGTTTACCTCTGAGGTCTGGTGAGGTGTCGGTAACCTTGTTTGGTGGAGGATGCTGTCACTACCCCAGCCCACCACCTGACCCACAACTACTACCGTCACTACCCACCCCAGCCTACCACCTGACCCACAACTACTACCGTCACTACCCACCCCAGCCCACCACCTGACCCACTACTACTACTACTACTAATACTGTCACTACTCCACCCCAGCCTACCACCTGACCCACTAATACTACTACTACTCACCTCACCCCAGCCCACCACCTGACCCACTACTACTACTACTACTGTCACTACCTCACCCCAGCCCACACCTGACCCAACTACTGCTGTCACCCACCCCAGCCACCCACTGACCCTACCGACCTCCCCAGCCCACCACCTGCCCCACTACTATCCCCGTCACTACCCCACAGCCACCTGACCCGACTATCCCGTCACTGCCCCCACCCCAGCTACCACCTTTACTACTACTACCACTACCTCCCCCAGCCACCACCTGACCCACTACTATCCCCGTACTACCCCACCCCAGCCCACCACCTGACCCTACTATCCCGTCACTCCCCAGCCCACCACCTGACCCTACTACCTCCTCCACACACAAATAAATCACGTGTTTTTACCGATAGTTAAAGCCCATTTCTGGAATATCCCTTATTTATTTGTTTTTGTTCAAGAGGGATCAGGTTAGGTCAGGTTAGGTTAGGAGGATCCCAGGTTAGATGGAGGATCCCAGGTTAGGTTAGATTTGGAGGCCCAGGTTAGGTTGGAGGAGACCCAGGTTAGGTTAGGTTAGGAGGGATCTCAGGTTGATTGGGAGGGATCCCAGGATGAGTTGGGTTGGGAGGGAGTTGGTTGGTTGGGAGGGACCCAGGTTAGGTTAGGTTAGAGGTTAGGAGAGATTCAAGGTTAGGTTAGGTTAGGAGGACCAGGTTAGGTTACGTTAGGGAGGATATCAGGTTAGGTTAGGTGGGATCTCAGGTTGGGTTAGGAGACCCAGTTGGTTAGGTTAGGAGGATCCCAGGTTGGGTTACGTTGGGAGGATGTCAGTTGAGTTGGAAGATATCAGTTGAGTTAGGGATCTCAGGTTGGGTTGGGAGGATCAGGTTGGGTTAGGAGGACCAGGTTGGGTTACATTAGGAGGGATATCAGGTTGGGTTAGGAGGGATCAGGTTAGGTTGGGTTAGGAGGATCTCAGGTTTGGTTGGGAGGAATGAGGTTAGGTTGGGAGGAAGACAGGTTGGGTTGGGAGGGAGACAGGTTAGTTTGGAGGAGACCCCAGGTTAGGTTGGGAGGGACCCAGGTTAGGTTAGGAGGAGACCAGAGGTTAGGTTGGGAGGGAATTCAAGGTTGGGTTAGGAAGGAGACAGGTTGGGTTGGGAGGAACGAAGTTGGGTTGGGAGGGAGACCCAGGTTAGGTTAGAGGAGACCCAGGTTGAGTTGGGAGGAGACAGAGGTTGGGTTGGGAGACAGGTTGGGTTAGGAGGGGACAGGTTAGGTTGGGAGGCCAATTGGGTTAAGGTTGGGAGTTAGGAGGAAGACAGGTTAGGTTGGGAGGGACAGAGGTTAGGTGGGGAGGAGACAGGTTAGATTAGGTTAGGTTGGTTAGGAGGAGCCCAGAGGTTGGGTTGGAGACCAGGTTAGGTTAGGGAGGACTCAGAGGTTAGGTTAGGAGGAGACCAGGTTGGGTTAGGAGGGAGACAGAGGTTGGGTTGGGAGGAGACAGGTTGGGTTGGGAGGAAGCAAGTTGGGTTAGGAGGCCCAGGTTGGGTTGGGTTGGGTTAGGAGGCAGAGGTTAGGAGGAGGGCCAGGTTAGGTTAGGAGACCCGAGTTAGGTTGGAGGACCCAGGTTGGGTTAGGTTGAGGGTTAAGAGAAGGCCAGAGGTTGGGTTGGGAGGGAGAGACCCAGAGGTTGGGTTAGGAGACAGGTTGGTTAGGGAGGAGACCGAGGTTAGGTTGGGTTAGGTTAGGTTAGGAGGAGACAGGTTAGGTTGGAGACCAGGTTAGGTTAGAGGAGGAAGACAGAGGTTAGATTAGGAGGTTGGTTGGGAGGAGAGCAGGTTGGGTTAGGTTAGGAGAGACAGAGGTTAGGTTGGGAGGGAGACAGAGGTTAGGTTAGGAGGAAGCCAGGTTAGGTTAGGAGTGAGACAGGTTAGGTTAGGTTAGGAGGAGACAGAGGTTGGGTTAGGGAGGATGCAGAGGTTAGGTTAGGAGGACACAGAGGTTGGGTTGGGAGGTAGACAGGTTAGGTTGGGAACCAAGTTGGGTTAGGAACTCAGGTGGGGTTAGGTTAGGAGGAGACCAGAGGTTATGTTGGGAGGAGACCAGGTTAGGTTAGGGAGACAGAGGTTAGGTTGGGAGGAGACAGTTAGGTTAGGAGAGGTTAGGTTAGGTTGATAGGGAGAGACACAGAGGTTGGGTTAAGAAGACAGAGGTTAGATTGGGGAGGAGACTCAGGTTAGGTTGGGTTGGTTGGGTTGAGGTTCAGATTAGGTGGAGACAAGGTTAGGTTCGGTTAGGAGATCCCAGGTTAGGTTGGGAGGCCCAGGTTGGATTGGGGAGGGACAGGTTGGGTTGGGTTGGAGGATCCCGGGTTGGGTTGGGAGAACCAGGTTGGGTTGGGTTGGGTTAGGTTAGGAGGAGACGGAGGTTGGTTGGGAGGGGACAGGTTAGGTTAGGTTGGGAGGATCCCAGGTTGGGTTAGGGAGGAGACAGGTTGGGTTGGGAGGGGACCTTTGGGGTTGGGTTGGAGGGATCAGTTTGGTTGGGAGGACGGAGTTGGGTTAGGGTTGGGGTTGATTGGGAGGGACTTGGTTGAGTTTGGAGGAGAACCAGGTTGGGTTTGATTGGAGGATCTGAGGTTGGGTTGGAGGAGACTGATTTGAGTTAGTTGGAGGAGAGGTGGTTTAGATTGAGGAGGTTGGTTAGGTTAGATTAGGAGGATCGGGTTAGGTTGGGAGGGGAGGTTGGGTTAGATTAGGAGGATCCCAGGTTGGGTTGGAGGAAGAGGTTGGTTAGGAGGAGACAGGTTAGGTTAGATTAGGAGGGATCCCAGTTGGGGTTAGGAGACTGGTTAGGTTAGATTAGGAGGATCCCAGGTTAGGTTGGAGGGGCCAGGTTAGGTTGGATTGGGAGGGATCCCAGGTTGGGTTAGGAGGAGACAGGTTAGGTTAGATTAGAGGATCCCAGGTTAGGTTAGGAGGGGACGGGTTAGGTTGGGTTGGGGCGGGAGATTTGTTGGAGTCACGATAATGTTATAAGCCTTCTGTTGGTCTGCCCATAACTCATGACGCTTTGGGCATTGTTATACATGACGGGATATAATTATTAGTGGGAATAGTATAACAGTCTATAACACCCGTCTGGGCAATAATTATAGGCTAAATTGTTATGACTTGTGATACGAAGAGGGAAGAGCCGATCAGATGGAGAGTGGGGATGATGCTAACTTACGGGAATAAAACAGAAGCCACCAAACATTTAATAAGTTCTGAGGTTTCCATATCGTTACGACTCTTTTATTAATGTTTAGTGTAGTTGTAGAAGTTGTTTGGCGGCGTATTAAGCAACAGGAATGTTTTTGATATTGTGTTGTGTTGTATGTGAGGGAGTAATGTTTGTTTACATAATTGGACAGTGATTAACCACCTGTCCTTCACTGTGCTAGAACAACTTGGGTGAGGGTTCATTCTAACGGGCTGGGCGCTGGATGTGTTTAAAGTTTAATATGTTTTGATTATGTGTAAGCGCGTATGTATGTAATGGAATGTATGTATGTATGTATGTATGTTCGTGTTTCAGTCTTTGGTTGAGGATGTAAATGGTTTGTTGATAGTGTTTGTTTACATAATACTCCTGCTAGTAGATCTCTCTCTCTCTCTCTCTCTCTCTCTCTCTCTCTCTCTCTCTCTCTCTCTCTCTCTCTCTCTCTCTCTTCATTCCCTACCTTCACTGTGCTTTGATTGTGTTGCTGACTCTTGTTGTTCTCCTGTTGTTGTGTATAATAGTGGCACTTTTTCCTTGTCATCTTCCTGTTCTCGTCTTTGTCCTCGTCCGTCTCGTCTTTGTTCTCGTCCTCCTCGTCTGTTCTCGTCCTTGTCCTTATCCTCCTCGTCTTTGTTCTCGTCCGTCTCTTGTCTTTTTCTCGTCCGTCTCGTCTTTGTTCTCGTTCGTCGTCTTTGTCCTCGTCCGTCTCGTCTTTGTTCTCGTCCTCCTCGTCTTTGTTCTCGTCCGTCTCGTCTTTGTCCTCGTCCGTCTCGTCTTTGTTCTCGTCCGTCTCGTCTTTGTTCTCGTCCGTCGTCTTTTCCTCGTCCGTCTCGTCTTTGTTCTCATCTCGTCTCGTCTTTGTCCTCATTCGTCTCGTCTTTGTTCTCGTCCTCCTCGTCTTTGTTCTCGTCCGTCTCGTCTTTGTCCTCGTCCGTCTCGTCTTTGTTCTCGTCCGTCTCGTCTTTGTTCTCGTCCGTCTCGTCTTTGTCCTCGTCCGTCGTCTTTGTTCTCGTCCTCCTCGTCTTTGTTCTCGTTCGTCTCGTCTTTGTCCTCGTCCGTCTCGTCTGTTCTCGTCCGTCTCGTCTTTGTTCTCGTTCGTCGTCTTTGTCCTCGTCCGTCTCGTCTTTGTTCTCGTCCGTCTCGTCTTTGTTCTCGTCCGTCTCGTCTTTGTCCTCGTCCGTCTCGTCTTTGTTCTCGTCCTCTCGTCTTTTTCTCGTTCGTCTCGTCTTTGTCCTCATCCGTCTCATGCTTTTCTCGTCCTCTCGTCTTTGTTCTCATCCGTCTCGTCTTTGTCCTCGTCCGTCGTCTTTGTTCTCGTCATCGTCTTTGTTCTCGTCCGTCTCGTCTTTGTCCTCGTCGTCTCGTCTTTTTCCTCATCTCTCGTCTTTGTTCTCGTCCGTCTCGTCTTTGTCCTCGTCCGTCGTCTTTGTTCTCGTCCGTCTCTTCTTTGTTCTCGTCCGTCTCGTCTTTGTTCTCGTCCGTCTCGTCTTTGTTCCTCTGTCCTCTCCTTTGTTCTCGTCCGTCTCTCGTCTTTGTCCTCGTCCGTCTCGTCTTTGTTCTCGTCCTCCTCGTCTTTGTTCTCGTCCTCTCGTCTTTGTTCTCGTCCTCCTCGTCTTTGTCCTCGTCCGTCTCGTCTTTGTCCTCGTCCTCCTTCTCCTCTTTTCCTCCATTTACTCTTCTTCTCCCCCTCCCCCTCTCTCCTTGCTGCACACACGGTTAACAGTTAAGGTCTGGCTTCTTATATAACAGATTCGGTTAGGTTAGGTTAGGTTAAGCTGTGTTGGTTAAGTTAGATTAGGATAGGGTAGGTTAGGTTAGGTTAGGTTAGGTTAGGTTAGGTTAGGTTCGGTGTGAATTAGTTTAGAGTACCTGTAGGGTTTGGTAATTACTGTCCTTGGTGGTGGTGGTACTGTCCCGGGGCGGGCGCGGAGAGATTAGGTAAGTCCCCGGTGCTGGTGCTACCTACCTGTGACGTCATTACGCTGGACGTGGTGGGAGGAGGTATTCTCAGCCTTGAGGTAGGGAGAGGGACCACCTCGGGACACGACCTAATCTTCCCACACTGTCACCATCAACAACAAAAGCAGAGACATTAGAGCCAAAACGATAGTAAAAACAATTACTGTGTATGGTAGTATCGTCACTTCTGTTTCAAACATCGTAATGACAGATTTGGTCACACTCTCAGGAACGGTAACAGACTATGTTGATCAAGGATTACCAGTTGATGCGTTGTACATGTTTTGTTTTTTTAAGACTTTTTACAAAGTCCTACATGCAAGGCCAACCTCTAATATCCAGGCACATGGCATCTCAGGGAAAATATCGTGGTGGATTAAGGACTGACTCGAAGACAGGGAACAGAGTCCTAAATGGAGTACAGAATAGAAATAGTTTCTTAGTGGAGTACCTGGAGGCCCTATCCTTGGACGGTGCTTCATATACGTAAACAATATTAATGAAAATATATCGAGCCACAGCTTCAAGTTTGCGGACGATGCGACAATTTATAGAAAGGTGGTGAGTGTGGAAGATATCTTGCCCTTGTAAAATTGTTAGCGCTGAACTTTTCAAACAGTTGCTGGATTTACAGATGCTTTTTAACACAGGAAAGTGTAAGACTTTGGGGCACAATAACCCAGAGAACAACTACAGTAATTTGTGAAGAACACTTTCCTGTCTTGGATTTGTAGATCAGGAAAAGGCCAAGACATAGTGACAAACCAGTCAGTGAAAGTAGCGCAATAAGTTGGGACTTTGAAGAAAGTCAACCAAGTTCTGGCAAACCTAAGTTTTCCCATTGAATATAATATGAAGAAGCTTATTCATCCCTATAAATCTGGTGTATCGTCCCCTTGTGGACTACTATATACAGACAAGGATGCCGCACCTTATAAAAGACATCACACAACTATAAAGGTGCAACACAGCGACGAGGATTATTCCTGAAAATAGTCATTATGATTATGTATAAGTAGGAGGAAGGACTTCAAAGTGGTAAGTCTTGAGGAAAGAAACAACAGACCGGACCTCATAGAGACATTCCAAATCCTAATAGGGATGGAAGACGTAAACTCAGATCACTTCTTTATGATATCAGCCGCAGCAAACACAGGTCACATACTCAAGCTCGCCAAGTTGTGAGGCAGAGAGACTATAAGGAAGTACTTCTTCACATAGAGGATGGTAGACCTATAGAACAGTTACGAGCTGAAGACTGGGAAGCAACACCACTCATTTACAACACTGAGCTTCGTAATGGTCCTGGACAAGACCATCAAGAACAATAGGTGAATCCTACACAGACCACCTCCTTCCCTCCCCCGACATAGCAACTAGGGTTTCCTGTTTTGGGGGTTTCTTAGCATCCCGGGATTCTGGGACAAACCAGGATATTTCCCAGGATTCCCCGCATCAGGTGATATTTGTACTAACTAATGCTATATGCTAACCCTACATACTTCATTAGTGTAGTACCTGTAGGTTATTTGATAGGCAATTGATTTGATAAATTATATTACATTGAAGCAAAGTTCTCTTTATTAACTTGCGCTACTGGTGTAAAATTAGGTACATAATCTGATTAAACAAGCAAAATTTTAATTAATTAATCTATCATATGAGTCACATGTCCGTACTCCGTATCATGCAAGCCAAGATACACCATTATATAATGGCTTGCAATTTGGCATCATATACAGACAGATTACTCGACAGTCAACACACCTCTGCACGGAGATAAACACGACTAAGGCCAGTACCCAGAAGTGTACAGGAACGGTACGAGTCACTTCTGTCAGACTCGCTCTAGCCCCTCCCCCCCTCTCTCTCTCTCTCATGCGTTTTTGTATTTCACACAGTGCAAATCAGAGATAAGGAATAACAATAAGAATCCCGGGATTTGAATCAAATTTCCAGGAAATAAACATAACCACTTACGCCCTGAATCCCAAGATCCCGGGAATTTGGCCACCTCTAGCTGTGACTTGGGTAGGTAGATCAGAGATATTTCTCAAATTCCTTAGCTTCATTATACAATACATGAAACAGGGGAATCATTCGAGGTCACAAACGAAACAAAGACGAAACAAGGACGCAACAAAGACGAAACAACTTCACGAATAGACTGACTCACACATCACATTTTCCCGAGCAAAAGGTTACGTCGTGTTGGCCTCTGAGTGATGACTGGACAATCGCTTGGGGATGTATCTAATCATTCAGCTGTATTCTGTATGAAGGCTGTACCTGTGTAGTCAGTATATATGGGATACTCTACACCATTACTGAGCTATGACTGTTGTAAAGCCAGTAACTAGTTTACTTTAGTACCCAATAATGGTAAACTAACAGACTAAGTACTGTATGAACCATCATCCAAGGTGGACACAGTTACATGAATGAACAACTCTATCGTCTTAAGAGAGTTAAAACATCATATTCAAGGGATTAAGACATTGTCCTCAAGGAGTTAAGTCATTGTACTCATGGGGTTACAATATCTTACTCAGTTGGTAATATATTGTACTCAAGAGGTGAAGTCATCGACCTTAAAAGGCTCAAGACATCTTACTCAATAGAGTACACATTGTACTCTGGATTAAACCATAGTACTTAAAGGGGTTAAGATATAATACCAGGTTGACTTAATGTACTCAGGGGGTGTAGGTCATCGTACTCAAGGAGTTTTTAAATTTTGCCAGGGGACCAGCTAGTTTATTGTGCATCCCATATTCAACACATACACTCAAGGGCGAGGAGACGTAACTAGATCCGTTTCCGTATCCCAGTATAAAAGAATAAAACGTAAACACAAGGTGAGAACTCAAGGTGTGTTGTGGGGCGTGAAGGATGTTGTGGTGAGCGTGAAGAAATGTTTACCTCTTCCCGTTTTCTCCTAGAGCTTTGAGTCATAGATCCCTCCTCCTCCTCCTCCTCCTGCTGCTGTATAAAAATCTTCTAATCGGTATCAAGATTTTTTTTCTCCTTATTTATTATTTCTCCTTATTTCTCCTTATGTTATTTGTAGATATGCTTGTTCTCTTCTCTTCTCTTCTCTTCTCTTCTCTTCTCTTCTCTTCTCTTCTCTTCTCTCAGGGTGAGTTGGATAATAGTGGTATCTAGTTTGTGTCACTCTATCAACATTTGCAAAAGGCAGAGTTAAAAAAAATCGTGTCTCATTTGTTTTTCATGATATAAGACGATACTGTACACACACACACACACAATACTGAACAAAAAACATACATACATTAACTATACTGTATCTCAGGGTTAATACTGTCTTAATACTAGGGTTGTGTGTACATGTGTTTGTGTACGTATGAGTGAGTGTAGCGTATAGTGGGTGTGTATGTATGTGTGTGTGTGTGTGGTGTGTAGCGTGCGCGCGTGTGTGTTCATATGTAATAATAATAATTAACGGTTTATTGAAAGAGCTTGGCAGCCAGAAGGCTGAAAATATACAGTTACATATTTGGGGAATGGGTTACGAATTACAAATAATATACAAGTGACATAAGTGACACAAATAAGACATATAGTAACTTAGATGGGGATCAGCTCAAAATACAGTTCATTTCAACATAGTGACAGTGTAGGGAGCAGTGTTTACTGGGAGTGAATACACTGATTTATTACATGTTATTGATAATTTTTACAATGGTTGGGACTGGGCTGTTCTTATAGCGATCAGTTCGTGCACGTATGGGCTGGATGCGGTTGTGGTGTCGAACAGCAATTCTCGGACAGGGGATCTCAGGTGGTAGTAGGGGCCGGTGTCGGGGATGGTGTAGAAGCTTCTTACCAAATTTGCAGATGAGGCCGTGGTGATGGTCAGTGAGAGTCGAAAGGGTCAGTGTGAACTTTGCTTGATATGTGTGGAAAGGGAAGGAGGTATGCCCTCTTTTTTGCTTTTTAGGTGTTGTGTGTTGTGTGTGTGTTGGGGAGGAATGTGTGTGGGTGGGCAGTGACTTGGAATGTAGATGTTGTGTATACACTGGGGGATGTGTGCGGGAACTCCGGGGGACTTGAGTCGGCGGAGGGTGGGTGGGAGACAGAAACTGGAGGATAACTGACGTGTGGTTTCAATTTAGTTTGTTGTCTATGGTGACGTGAGCTTCGTGGAATCTCTAACCTGGAGTGTGTTCAGGATCTGGTAATGAAGGAGGTGGGACAATGTCGGAGAGGGTTGATGTGCCTCCATTGTCTTGAGATGGTGGTGGTTGTGTTGGTGGCCCAGTTTTGGAACTGTTTAAATCCTGAAGGCGGTATAGTTG